TACTTTACAACAAATATCAAAGTTGGCGGTGGTAGAAATTTCATCAGGAAAAGATATTGGCTCACAGACGAAATATTAAGATCTGTGGTATTTTGTTTTTGGTTTGAGATTAGTTAATGGACGACCAAACATCAATGACACTAATTTGATAGGATAGGTTATTATGGCTATCATAGATTTTCTGAGATGTTAGAATCGTCACTCTGCTGTGGTGGGTTAGAGTGTTAAAAAAGCATTATCTTTAAGAACTAAATTAGCCTCCATAATTAGAGAGCTCATTCACCATATTATTGGAAATTTCTTTGATTACTGGTTGTTAGGTTCACTTGATAGTTTTGGCTAGCCGATACTATATTTTAATAAAGTGGTCTTTCTTTTTTTCTCTGTTTGAGGAATTATATAATGTTGATTGATTAATATGGTATTTTATATGTCCCAACAGCACAAATGGATATATGAGGGTCTGGATGGGAGTCTTCATTTCTGTAATCTTCAATTTTGTATGCCCCGCCTTAGTGGAGGGGGCATTAAGTTTTACCCTTGTCCGTTCGTACGTCCCAAAATTGGTTTCTGTTTTCTAACTTAAGGTTGCCTCAACCAAATGTTATGAAACTTATACATAATGCTTATTACCACAAAACACAGATCAAGTTTGAATTTTGGTGGCGTCACTTTTAACGTTCTAGTCTCAGTTATGCCCCTTTACAAATGGAAAAATTGCTGAATTTTTTGTTTCCATTCTCTAACTTAAGTTTGCCTCAACCAAATGTTATGAATCTTATATACAATGCTTATTACCACAAAGCACAGATCTAGTTTTAATTTTGGTGGCGTCACTTAATTTTTACCATTCTTGAGTTATGTACCTTAAGCTTTATAATGTTGTATGCAAGTAGGGGCATGATCTGTGTCCCATGGACACATTCCACATTTACTAGTCCATTTTCTACTTATGTTTTGTATTTTTTTGCCCATTATTCTCTAATCTTTACATTTGAATGCCCCATTATTATCTTTTCTCATCACTTGGCGTCCGTCGTCCGTCGTCGTCGTCGTCGGTACCTTTTTACAAAAATCTTCTCCTCTGAAACCACTGGGCCAAATTTAACCAAACTTGGCCACAATCATCATTAGGGTATCTAGTTTAAAAAATGTGTCCGATGACCCCGCCAACCAACCAAGATGGCCACCATGGCTAAAAATAGAACATAGGGGTAAAATGTAGATTTTGGCTTATATCTCTGAAACCAAAGCATTTAGAGTAAATCTGACATAGAATAAAACTGATTATCAGGTCAAGATCTATCTGCCCTGAAATTTTCAGACAAATCTGACAACCTGTTGTTGGGTTGCTGCCCCTTAATTGGTAATTTTAAAGAAATTTTGCAGTTTTTGGTTATTATCTTGAATATTATTATAGATAGAGATAAACTGTAAACAGCAATAATGTTCAGCAAAGTAAGATCTACAAATAAGTTGCCATAACCAAAATTGTTGGTCGACCCCTTTAGGAGTTATTGCCCTTAATAGTCAATTTATAACAATTTTTTGTAAATTTTTGTAATCTTTTACAAAAATCTTCTTCTCTGAAAATACTGAGACAAATTTAACCATACTTGGCCATAATCATTATTTGGGTATCTAGTTTAAAAAATTTGTCTGATGACCCCGCCTTCCAACCATCATGGCCGACTTGGTTAAAAATAGAACATAGGGGTAAAATGCAGTTTTTGGTTTATATCTCTGAAACTAAAGCATTTAGAGCAAATCTGACAGGTGGCAAAAATGTTCATCAGATTTAGATTTATCTGCCCTGAAATTGTCAGACGAATCCGACAACCCCTTGTTGGGTTGCTTCCCCTGAGTTAGTAATTTTACAAAAATTTTGCAGTTTTTATACGACCGCAAAAAAATTTTTGTGGTCGTATATTGGTATGACGTTGGCGTCGTTGTCGTCGTTGTCGTCGTCGTCCTGCGTCGAGTGAAGACACATTGGTTTTCGCACTCTAACTTTAGTTTAAGCGAATGGATCTCTATGAAATTTTACCACAAGGTTCAATACCACAAAAGGAAGGTTGGGATTGATTTTGGGGGTTATGGTACCAACAGTAAAGGAATTAGGGGCCAAAAAGGGGCCAAAAATAAGCATTTTTGTAACTTCCAGACATAACTTGTGTGTTAGTGTATGGATCTCTCTGACATTGTACCACAAGGTTCCATATCACAAAAGGAATGCTGGGATTGATTTTAGGGGTAATTGCCTCAAAATTTTAGGATTTAGGGGCCAAAAAAGGGGCAAAAAAGAAGCATTTTTCTAGTTTCATGACAATAACTTGTGTGTAAGTGTATGGATCTTTCTGATATTGTACTACAAGGTTCCATATCACAATGGGGAAAGCTGGAATTGAGTTTGGGGGTAATTGCCGAAACGTTTAGGAATTGGGGGCCAAAAAGGGGCCAAAAATAAGAATTTTTCTAGTTTCCAGACAATAACTTGTGTTCAAGTATATGGATCTCTCTGAAATTGTACTGCAAGGTACCATACCACAAAGTGAAGGCTGGGATTGATGTTGGGGGTAATTGCCTCAATATTTTAGGAATTAGGGGCCAAAAAGGGGCAAAAAACAAGCATTTTTCTAGTTTCAGGACAATAACTTGTGTGTAAGTGTATGGATCTTTCTGAAATTGTACTGCAAGGTTCAATATCACAAAGGGAAAGCTGGGTTTGAGCTTGGGGGTTATTGCCCTAAACGTTTAGGAATTTGGGGCCAAAAAGGGGCCAAAAAACACATTTTTCTAGTTTCCAGACAATAACTTGTGTTCAAGTGTATGGATCTCTCTGAAATTGTACTGCAAGGTACCATACCACAAAGGGAAGGCTGGAATTGAGTTTGGGGGTGATGAATCATAAGGGGGTTCAAAAAATTTGGGGGGGGGGATTTTTTTTTTTTTCATTTTTTTTCTTTTTTTCATTTTTTTTTTCTTTTAAAATTTTCCATTTTAAGTTGGTTATTTCTGATTTATATTTGAAAGCAAATAATAATGATATGGTAGGAGAAACACATCAAACAGGATGTGTAAATTATTATATAATAAGTATTGTGCAATAGCAAGAAATTTTCAATTGCACAGTATTGCACAATAGCAAGAAATCTTCAATTGCACAGTATTGCACAATAGCAAGAAATCTTCAATTGCACAGTATTGCGCAATAGCAAGAAATATCCAAAATTAAACTTTGTTTGATTTCATCAAAAATTGAATTCTTGAGGTTCTTTGATATGCTGAATCCAACCATGTATTTAGATTTTGGATATTGGACCATAATAGGTGAATGTCCAATTTAAAATTTTTAAGTTCTTAGACCACATTCATTCTGTGTTAGAAACCTATGCTGTGTCAAATATTTAATCACAATCCAAATGCAAAGCTGTATCAAGCTTGAATGTTGTGTCCATACTTGCCCCAACTGTTCAGGGTTCGATCGACCTCTGCGGTCGTATCAAGCTGCGCCCTGCGGAGCATTTTATTTGTTATTATCTTAGATATCATTGTAATATCTTATATCTAATACTATTAATTATGATTTTAACCTTATTTTACATGATTTCCAAAGCATCAGTAAATACAGGTGAGCGACACAGGCTCTTGAGAGCCTCTAGTTTTAAACATTATTTTCTATTCTATTATTTGTATACTAATTTTTCTCTATTTTGTAAAACAGACTCAGTGGTATTGTGGGTCATACTCACTGCATGATTCCAACCCTGGCTGGTTCAAATCAAGTATAATGTATGTGCTGCTTCAACCCTTAGGCACATGGCAATTAGACAGGTTGGCTTGGAGTCAGAATAATGTGCCTGGACAGCTATTCGAGTCATGTCTTCCTGCGGACTGTTTTCCTTGTAAAAATGATGCTTTGCGTGTCTGTTTGAACAAAGCACCAGGGTTGTTAATCAAATGACATTACTATCTGAATATGTTCTCGTCCTGAATATATATGCATTTGATTTTCCAATAGACATTAAACAACTCTTAATCATCATCTATTTTCGTTATAATATTAAGCATATTGTATTGCATTAAGTTCAGTCATGTGGTTTTATTCCAAAGTTATTTGCACTTGCATAAAAACATGGAAAATCTGCATCATGATGAACAGGTCATAGTTTGGTATGCAGGAAACACTAGTTTTATGTGCATTTGTGTTAATTGGTGATTTGGACATTCGTTATTGATAAATTGATCAGCAAGAATATAGCTGTGTACCAGAACTGTAAAGATAATTGAAGGTTAATGAAGCGAGCTCTATTACTTGGGCAGTCATTGATATTTCTACAAATATCACCAGAAAAAATTGAGAACTATGTGTTATCATAGTGTTGTTTCAAATTCAATAACTCATAAATTTTAGTAGTTTGGATTTTAAATTCCATCTGCAAGTAGTAAATAATGGATAGACAAGTCTTTTGATGACTTTATGATAGCATCTCTATTGTACAAGCTCTCAATATCATGTTTTTGATATTTGTACTTTAAATGCTGTATTGTTGTAAAAAGTGTTGAACATTTCAAAATATCAGGTGTGAAAGTGACAGAATTTAATTGAGATAGGTATTGAAAATCTATGGTATTGATGCAACATTAGTATAATTATAATTGTAGGAGTATATTTGGAAGCGATGAATTGGAAATATTTATGATGCTATATCGAGATGATTTCTGATAATTGAGAAAGTAGTGTCCCAGTATTATCAATAGGCAAATTTACTGTTTGTGTAGGAATACGCACAGCTCCCACAGCTATTTTAACAACATAAATACTTAAAAAGAACGTCAAAAATCATCAATCAAAAAATTCGTAAAATTGCATTGCGTAATTTTAATTATGGTTTACCATCTCTTTAAAACAGAATACTTAAGAACTGTAATGAAATTAAAACCTTCAAGAATTACATCATGAACTTTCACTTTTTTCCGTAGAATATACTAACTGAATTATTTCCAGAGTGAAATGAAGTCTGTGAATCAATACCATGTATCTTTAACTTAATAGTAAAGTACACTGTCGAGTAGATGCCGTTTAAATTAAATTTCACGACACAATTACAATGTAATTGGGAGTATTATTGCAGATTTCATTTATTTTCATTGTATTCTGCGTAATGTCTTTTTCTGTGATTTTAAACGGAACTATTTAAAACAGATCGAAAGTGTCGGCAGAAGAAGCCGGATTAAGAAGGATTACTGCAACATTTTCATACACAAAGCGGCTTATTCGTTTTAAAAGCCATAAAAGCAATGGTGCTGAAATTTCAGTGATGATTTAATTTTCTCAAACTTAATTGCTGCATTGGTTTTAAGGATTGCCCGGTTATCCTGTTGACATTTAGAATCAGTCATTTAAAGTGTTAAATGTTAATGAGCTGAAGGTACAGCAATTGTTGCATGAGTTTGCCGACTTGTGGAATTAATTTTGCATCCAACTTTTTGACACTGAGAGATGACGAGTATTCTAGTTTCTGTCTTTAGTAACAGGTTTGTTGAATTTAATAATTATTCTTTTTTTAGTAAAGAAAAGTTTATTTCTTTAACTAAATTTTTAGCATTAAATTTGATTGACTGATTGTTGGGGTATATTAACACGCCACTTTCAGCACTCTTGCATGGCTAATTTTTATTTTGTGGAGAAATAAAGCCAGAGAGATTCACCAAATTTAAAGTGGCAGGTAAACAGGCAGTCCTGGTCAATTAAGATAGGATTCAAATACACCTCCCATAAGGGAGCTACCATTTGATTTTTATGGGGGGGCTAGGATGAAAAATTTTGTCCTGCATTTTTTTTTAGTTGTAATCTCGGTCCTGCCTTTTAATTTTTAACTCTATTTGGTCCTGACTTTTTTTTTATTAGTTTATCCTGACTTTTTTTACATAATTTGTCATCCTGCCTTTTTTTTTTTTGCCAAGTTGCTCATCCTGCCTTTTTTTTTTAACTCAAAACTTCTGTCCTGTCTTTTTTTTCAAATTTCATCCTAGCCCCCCCATAAAAATCAAATGGTAGCTCCCTAACCTCAGTGTTGACAGGCTGGTAATAACTGTAGAAGAACCACATGGACCACTTACATTGCCACTCAGAGGCACCCCCTGCACTCATATTGAAGTTATCTATTTGATATTGTCAAACAGCAAACTTCTGAAATTCATTTCAAAAATATTTTTAAAATTTGTATTTGGCCAAAAAGGGGGTGGGGTGGAGGTTGGGAAAAATTGTTTCGCCTCCTTGCATCCAGTCTCTTACACTCTGAATTGTCAGATTCTGAAACAAACCATTCACAAATGTTGTAAGATTTGCACAATTATTATGCCGATAATAGAGGATCTTACCGGAGAATTTTTATGTGTGAGAAAGTGCATGATATCCCATTGATTAAAATTTTGATTTCATGATGAATAGAAAACAAGTTTTTATGATAAAACAGTGCATTTTCAACCTATTTACTTGAAACATGAGTATGGGAAATGATGGCTTTTAACCCTAAAAATATGTTGAAAGGAAAAAGGTTCATGCATTGCAGGAAAATAGTTGTTAAATTGTACACTCCCGATTATTGAGTGTATGAAAATTTGTAATCTTAGTTTTTTTGTGTGCCCTAATTTCAAACTGATTGTTAGATAATAACACAATTATTTTAACATTGATTTTTGAGTTTGAATTAAAAAAATACTCACCATTGTTGAGTTTATATGTTACATATGAACAGCTGTTAATCTCAGAGTTGTTTTTTCTTCTCAAGTTTTTACATGATATAGTATATAATGTGACATTACACATGATATACTGTTGAGTATTAATTTTTTTTCTCTGAAAAAAATCTGTATTTGTGCATTTTAAAATGATGACTCATATCGTAATCAAAATATTTTAAGTATTTGAGTCACAACATCAAGATTTCCATTTGAACACCCTTTACCCTGAGTATTTTGATTTTAATGTCCATTGTGGTGTTCAAATGGGAGTCTTTCCATCACCCCATTTCCCCCCGAAATATGAAAATAATCCCTGATGCTATTTAGGCAAATTTGCAATCAAAATTGTTTATGTGTATTTTCAAGGAGTTGTCCTTCATACATGAAATTTCAGATGTGTATCCAGGATTTTAAAAAAAGAAGGTGGGGCACCAAGGTAAGGTTTGGAGTGGGACTTGTAAAAGTTGTATGCATTAACCATATATGAAGCTTCATAAGGGGACCTGCTGTGGTCCTGTAGCCTTTTTATTTTTACATCCTTGTGATATTTTTAGATCTATTGTCCTTATACAGAAAATATCTTAAGAACCATTCGAGTTATGGTTCAGCAGCTGATTTAAGTCTTAATATTTCTTTGAATAATGCTATTTAAAGTATTATTTATACATGGTTGGGTAGTCATGAGCAGAAAATTAGTGGGAGATTATTAAGAAGTAAAATATTTTTTATCCCATTAAAAGTTTTTCAACTTATCATGCTAATTAATCTAATGTTCCTATTGAATAACTATTGGTCCCCTGTGAGGGCTTTGTGTAAAACAAGATATCGATTAATGATCCATTTTTATATGTGTTTTTATGCTATTGTATTTCAAACGATGTCGTTATTAATCTTTACATTTCATAAAACAAAACAGCACTTTAGCGCAAAAACAATTATATTCTTTTCAATGATCAATGGATTTTTGTGATATTAAGTTTTCATACTTGAAATCGTTGCACTATTGTTATGATATTATAAATATTGATATAATGAGAAATACAAGTACATATAAATGTGAAGTTGTCAACAAAGTTTATCTTGTTTAAGTTCGTAACTTACAAAGCTACTTTGTAGAATTTTAAGTTTACCTTGTTTTATAATACCTTGAAAGCTCTTTAGTTGAATTTTAAGTCAGGATTTGTATGTGCTATTTTTAACCTCATATTTGTTTACACTTTGTGGTCTAAATTTATAACAAAAATTAGACAGGATGGGTTGTGGTTAGGTTTTTTCAACTGCATAAAAAGTTGAAAGAATTCGTAGGAGATGATGTAGGAATATTTCTATGTCTGTTCAAAATAAAGGTATGTATATTATAAATGCTGATTTTATTTACATTTACTATTGATTTTTTAAATGAATTTTATCTTAAATATATTGGAGCACACCTGTGTGAAATATGTTATGCAAGTGGGCACAAAATGGGGAATGGGGATATGTTGGTATGCTACAGGGGTGTTAAACATCCCAAACTACATGTGGTTGTCTGAGGCATGGTCAGTCAATACAGGTGTAGCAATGAGAGAATTGATAGGGAAAAAGGGGGGGGCAACCTTATATTATTTACATCTTTGAAGTTTGTTTACTCTAGGGCCTCGATAATATTGATAACTATGCAGTGCTTTTGATTTGCAAAGTATAAAAAAGATACTTTATAGATTTATTCTATATCATTCCTTCAAATCTGTGAAAATAGACTAAGTAGTAAATGTGTCATAAGTAAACATTATATTATTCTTTTCACTAATGAAATTTGCTTTGAAAGACATTTCCACCATTATTTCAAATCTATGAAAACAGGCAAAAAAGAAAAGATGTCTTAAAATCATAACATTATTCTTTTCACCAATGAAATTCAGTTTGAAAGATATTAAATTCTACCAGTATTTCAAATCTTTGAAAATATCTTAGATGCTATAATACTTAAAATTCTAAGGGACTCATCTAACCCATTAGTCATTTCCTTTTGGACAAGGATTATCAAAAATGCATAATAAATATGTGTATTTTATTCTTTTGTCTAGACTGTACCATGAGTTGGCAAATACCATGCATCAAGTTTATGTAATATTAAGTCAATAAATATTTTCTTAAAATACTTGATTCAATATTGTAAAGCCATTATAATAGAATCTGTTAATAATTAACTTTTGGTACAGTATATTAAAGTTGTAAGATACTTAATTTAAGAAAGTAAAGATTTAGATAACAAGGGGACATTATCTAAAACTTTAAGTTGAAAAAAAGATGAAGAGACGATCGGAACAAAACCACAATCCCCAAAACTCTACAGAAAATTACCCCTGGTTTCATCCAAGGTTTAAGGGAGAGGGTTGAACACCAGCAAACATGTTTAACCCACATTCTCTATGTGCCTGTCACAAATCAGGAGCCTGATATTCAGTGGTTGTAATATTTGTTGCTGGAAAATATAGTAGTTTTTCGTTTATTGTGTTTTGTACATAAATCAGGCTGTTAATTTTTATGCCCCCGTCGTAGGCAATGGGGGCATTAAGTGTTACACTTGACTGTACTGGCATTTGTGTGTCGGTCCGTTTGTCTGATTTTGTTTCCACATTCTTACTTAAGTTTTCCTTATCTAAATTTTATGAAACTTATACACAATGCTTAGAACCACAGCACACAGACAGAGAGTTCAAATTCGTGCAGTAAGTCATTTATCGTTCTAGAGTTATGTTCCCTTTTAACTTGGAAAATTGCAAAGCTTGAGCGGGGGCATTTGTGTCCTCAGACACATTCTTCTTTTATTTCTGTATTTCTTTTGAATTGTTTTACATTTGGGATGTTGGAGCCTTTTATATATATATATATAGAGCTGGCTATGCAGTATTGGTTTTGCTCTTTGTTGAAGGCCGTATAACTACATTATTTGGTCTCTGGTGGAGAGTTGTCTCATTGGCAATCATACCACATCTTCAGATGCTGTAGTTAGCTGGAATGTTATAATTTCTGAGCCTACTCCATAGTAACACCTGTCAAGTTTAACTCCTGTTTACAGCCTATTTCAATGAGTGTGTAGGCAAAGGTAATATCTTTGGTTAGCTTGCTTGCTAGCTGAACCATGAAGTCATTGTTAGGTTAGGTAAACTACCCTCCTTTAAGAGTAGACTAGTCCGACAGAAAACCAACCTATCTGTCTGTAGGACTAGGCTATTCGAAAGGAGGGTAGTATACCTTACCTAACAATGACTTCACGGTTCAGCTAGCAAGCAAGCTAACCAAAGATATTACCTTTAGCTACACACTCATTGAAATAGGCTGCAAAACTAAGATTGAGTTTAACCAGTGATAAAGATGGATTAATGGATGGCTGTTTATCGTCCAGTGTAAATATAGATTCTACCACTGCATAGAGTGTGATACGATATTTATCCACTCGAGACAGTTAAATTTTCAAATTTAAAACGCGAGGCTCGCCGAGCGTTTTAAATATTTAAAATTTAACTGCCGAGAGTGGATAAATATCGTATTACACGAGATTTGGTGGTAGAATCTGTTTCTCTAATGATTTTCAAACAATACGCAGGCAAATGTATTCCTTCTTTTCGAATGATCTGCAAAAAGATGTGTTCTTTCTATGTGACGTCATCAGGCATGGTCGCCTTTTTTCATGCCGTCACAATAGGAAATTCAGAGGAAAGCAAGAAAATTCGACGTCATAATCGGATTTTAACCAATGAAGAACTGAGATCAAACGAACCACACGTTGATTAAATTTTTTTTTATAC